GAATGTATGATACATTTGAAATGTTTTGTTCAAAAATCTATGCTTTATTGCTCTTAGAAAATTTTAAATTATGAAATAAGTGTGACTTATCAATTTCAAAGGAACATATAACTATTCCTTATCGGGTTAGCTTATACATATTGTAAGGTTGGCACTTGCCTTTTTTTCCTACTTTCAATCACTATTTATTTTTAAATTCAAGAAAGAACACCTGAGATTCATTTATTGGTATAACAGTTTTTGATAATCGGGTTGAAAATTGTGTCATAGATTAGTACGTTGAGGATGAGAGCTGTGTTCACGTTTTGGAATAGACTAACTACGGAGTCTATGGTTTTGGCAAAGTAGGTGAACTAATGTCAATTTAGGTATTAAAAAAAAATGTGTACACAGTTTTTACTTTGATGTACACATGTAGCTAGGTTGAACAACGCATCTAAACCTCACTACATACAAAACATTCGGAAACACAACAGTGCCATCACATCTCATCGCATTTGCATAGTTTTTGTTACCAATGCTGGACTAGGTTATGGATTTGGTTCCGCAAATGTTCAAGATTTGTGATAAAATTTCCTACAATTATGGTTCATTCCAATCCACGAAATACATGCACAGCTTTATGGGATCTATATGGCCAAGGCAAAACTACCCCATAAGTTAATGAATTATCAAGTAAGAACAGGATGATTAAATACATGGGTTGATGTGGCAAGAGAAGGATTAAAAATTGCTGAGATCGAAGTAAGAATGTTACTGCTTTCTGGAGAATCAGATATTTTTATTTAAAAAAAAAAGATGAAGATTTACTTATAAATCCGGATCAATCTGAATGATTTTCCTAAAGCAGATGGAATTAGTGGTTAGTAATAAATATTGACTCTTTCCGTAACATGATAGACTAATTACAGTATATGACCTCATTCTCCCATATAGTGAAAGTGGCTTTGGTATGAAACAAACTCATGAACAAACAATTATAAGACTCCTAAAAAATCTTTTGGTCAACCTAAAGCCGATAAAAAGAAAGGTAGGAAATATTGTGTTAAACGAATTTATCAATCACGTTTTTTTAGGGAACACAATCGTCATACTTATTATTGCTTATCCTCCCTTCATATAACTAAGATTTTAATGACTTCACTCTATCCAACGCAGTTAGCTGAATTTACATAAAACCTCAAGATTAACCGTCGATTTCGACGGGTTTCAACTAGTCTATATATTAATTTGAAACTGTTTTTCTTTGTGACAGCTATTTTGAGAGAACGGCTGGGCGCAGAAACTCGGTAGAGGTGTCTAAAGAAAGGTCCTGGTCTGTAGATGAGCCATCAAAAGAGAAGTTTGGTAAATTCCCTCGGGGCTCTGCCCCAGTGGCCTTTAAATTCCCATCCCATGTTATTCTTATGGAGGAAAACGAGGTTTTTGTCACAGCTAATTTGAGAGAACGGCTGGGCATAGAAACTTGGTAGGGGTGTCTAAAGAAAGGTATTGGTCTGTAGGTGAGCCCTCAATAGAGAAACGATGTAAATTTCCTTGGGGCTCTGCCCCAGAGGCCTTTAAAGTTCACTCTGCAATTTTGTTTACATTTCGACCATATGGATAATTTTACACTACTTTTAATGAACCAGCTGTTAATATTAAAATTGTATTCAAAACTGAAACTGTCAAAATTAAATGTTTACATTATTATTTATGATTTTAAATGGATTCTCCACTGCATGGCAAGTTTTTTATAGTTTCAACAAAATGATGAATTTATGATACGTTTGAAATGTTTTGTTCAAAAATCTATGCTTTATTGCTCTTAGAAAATTTTTAATTATGAAATAAGTGTGACTTATCAATTTCAAAGGAACATATAACTATTCCTCATCTGGTTAGCTTATACATATTGTAAGGTTGGCACTTGCCTTTTTACCTACCTTCAATCACCATTTATTTTTAAATTCAAGAAGGGTGGTCTTTATTATGTCAAAAGTACAAAATCTATAATGGTAAATGAAAAATCAAACTATTCAAAAGAACCTGAGATCATAGATTGACATAAATTTTCTTTCATTATCTTTAATTTCACCAACAATACAATTGAGCAAGCTTTTGCAGTGTTCATTACTAAACTCTAAATGCACTGAGCAAGACTGTATCTAAGAAAAAAAGATTTTAGCTTGTTTGTTACTTATTTTTTAAATTGAATAATGTCAAACAAAATCTCATAAAATAAAGGCAAACAAAAGTCTCTATGCCTGCAATAAATTAATGAGCTCAAAATTACTATCCCACACAAAAAAGTTACGTCTGTATAAAACAATAATCCGTCCAGTAATTTTATATGGCTCAGGGACTTGGATCCTGAACAAAAAAGAAGAAAGAAAAATAATAGTTTTTGAAAATAAAGTATTGAGGAAAATTTTTGGCCCAACACTAGAAAATAGAGAGTGGAGGAAGAGGCACAACCAGGAAGTAAGAGAAATGTACAAAAATACAGACATCATTGGAGAAATAAGAAGTAGGAGACTAAAATGGGCAGGACGCGTACTAAGAAGAGAAGAAGAGTCAAACCTGAAGAACATTCTGAGGGGAACACTAGAAGGTCGAAGACCCAGGGGACGACCAAAGACTAAATGGTGGAACCAGGTGCAACAAGACATGAGGCGGCTGGGAATTGGAGAGGAGGATGCTGAAGAAAGAGACGGATGGAGGCGCTGTGTTGCTGAGGCCAAGTACCGACTGGGGTACAAATGGGAAATGGCCAGGGCAGTAAGTAAGTAAGTAATATCAAACAAGAACATTTTTTTATGATAAAAGGAATGTTATTTTGTAAGTGTAGTAATTTTTTAACATAAAATAAAGAGCTACAAGAAGTTATTATATTGTTTGCAATTAAATTTAGATATTTCAAATGTTTTTTTTTATAAGGCTTCAAATAGAAGGCTATATTTATTCTATTTAGGATATTTACGCAGATTGCTGATACCGTTTATTAAGCTAGTAATATAGATCCGTCTATTAATTGGTCCCCTATATAACTTAAATTCAACGAGTAACTCCATTGAAAAGTATTCTATAAAGTTAACTACAAAATGTTTTTTCTTTCAGGCGCCGTAAAATGAATAACAATGTCAGCTATCCAGAAATACACCCTTGTATTCCTGAAGAGGTCACTAGAGCATTCATGAAACAAAGAACATTAATTAGAATGAAATTTCTAAACGAAAAGCTGACTCTGAAAAGCAAAACCAGTGGGCCAGTGAGTAAAGACAGTAAAGACAGGAAAACTTCAAAGAAATATAAAAAAACAATATGTTGACATTCTTCTAAATTCGTAGAAATGCTCTAATAAAAATGAGATTATATTAATTATTGATTTATTTACCCGTCTGCTACGTATTTCAATTAAAAGAAGTAGGGAAACCAATCATCTTATAGGTATATAACAGTCTCAAAGTAAAACAAATTAATATGTTCAGTAAAGTTGGTTTTCATGAATACACTAATTAGATCATGCAGCTATAGGCCGGTTAGAAAGCGTCCTCCTCATAGCATGGGTGCGAGAAAGAGATACCGAGCTGTGGGAGTGAGACAGACTACGGCTCTTCCCCCACTCCACTGCCACTCCACCCCCAACCTTCCCGAACACAGCTAATCAAATTAAATTATACAGCTGATCAAAATGTAAACAATTAGGTTCTTCATAACTTGAGAAAAATAGGTCCTGCAAAAAATATTGTATAGCCTAAATCGCATCGATATTTGAGCATCATGAAATGTTATTATATCATTGTTTAAGTAGTTCCATTTGGTAACACAGGATTCCAACTCCCACGACACTGGGCCGGCGCCGTGTCGGTGTAGTTTAAAGCCATTGTCGGTGTCGGTGTCGTTGTGTCGTGCAGTGTGAAAACGGCCATTGGCGGAGAGGGGGAACATACCCTCCCTCACCGTTACCTCCCCTACATGCGCTAAAAATTTTATGCAGGTCGTTTTCTAACCGGCCGACCTATAGTAGTATAGGCACTAAGAAATATGCACTACTGTATATGTTATTTTGAAAGCTAAAACAGTGAAACCTTGTAGAGCTTAGTTTGATAATTGATTCTTAAAATAGTTTTTTTTTATTTTAGTTATACTTGGACTGGATTAGCCTAGAAAAGTAATTTAAAAACACACTAGTTTAAAAAAACACTACTGTTTAGACCAGGGCAATTAACCATTTCTAGTTACCCATACAGTGTTCTTGGTAGTGCGGCCAGTGTAGTAAGGCATTCGCTAGTGCACTCAAGACTGAGATCGGTGAGTGACGTCACACACTCCGGGCGCTGGCTACACACAGCATACGTGAATGAGACAGCTTTCTGTATAGTAGCCTTGACCCATCCCCACTATAAGAAATAATGCTTTTATTTAGTTCAAAGTTTAGATTTAATCTAACCTAAAAACGTGTTGAAGAGTGTTAGACAATATAATTATTTACATGAGTGCAAACTGCCCTTGCTGCACTCGAGCATTTCTCTTGTGTGCAGCAAAGTGCCACTTCACCCACTAGCCACACAAATAACTATGAAAAGATTGTGTTATAAGGAGTCTGATTTATTTCTTGGTAATGTACTAAATCTTACTTTGAGAAAAGTAAAACTTCAGCATGAGCATAATCACGTATGATGGATGATCTGAAATCAGATAGGTCCGATTCAAGCGCATGGCATTATTTAATATAAAGATTATTGCAATAAAACTTAAATACTAATTCAACTGAATGCAGTTGTCCATACAATGTAAACTATAAATCAATTCAACAGTTTTTGACTACTCTACCTGAACGCTATTTTACAGGATTTTAAATATATCCCTCAAAATCTCAAATTCTTTTGGAGCTTGTAAAAAAATGGTTTAACAGTTTCAAAAGGGTGGGTTTTCTAAAAAAAATTTAAATGATTTAATGGTCTCTGATTAGTGACAAAACATTAATAGAATGCAAGAGATAATAAAATAGAGGAAAATCATCTTACAAAATCAATGCATACTTTTATTGGGTTTACAAATCTAGTTTGTACATAATTTTGCTGACGCACTCATCAATATCCTTCAGAGTTTTATGAATATCTTGATACACCTTTCTAATGGCAGGATTGGAATCTATTGGATATGTTTCCTGTAAGCTGGTACTAGGGAAATAGCCATCCACCACTTTGGGTGGCATTTGTGCTCTTGTTGGCTTTGGTGTGTAACGTCTTGAACTAAGTGTAGATTCTGCAAAGGCACTACCAGAATGAGTTATAGCTTGGGAAATGGCGTTAGCACGAGAACCATCTACAGATGTGGCCAAAGATACAGCGTTTGCATCTCCCTTAAAACTAGTAGAAATTGCTTGAGCAGTCACAGATCCATCACAGTTACCTTCAGTACACAACATTGGAACCCAAATAGGCTTTCCGTCAGAAGAAATTTTCCAATGACCTCCCTGAGGAAGAAGAGGAAGTTGTTTTCCATTGGGTAGAAGTTCTGGGTATCCAAAAGCGTTCATAAACCATATTCCATTTACGCCATTAACGTTTAACACTGCATACCCTGAATCATTTACAATCCACTGGCCAGGTGGTGGAGTGGTTTGTTCTTTTTGTGTAGGTAACCACTGAGGCCTTCCATCAAGAGTTATTTTCCATTGTCCTCCCTGACGAAGGGGAGGAAGTTGCATATCTTCCTCTAAAAATTCTGGATAGCCTGAAGCATTCATAAACCATGTTCCATCTTGTTTTTTGTCATAAACATTTAACACTGCATGTCCTGTTTGATTTATAATCCATTCACCAGGAGGAATATTGGTAGGTTTTTGAGGTGTAATTGTAGGGTTTTGTGTAATAACCCACTTAGGACTTCCAGATGATGTGATGGTCCATTTTCCTCCTTGAGGAAGGGGAGGAAATTGTCTTCCATTGGGTACAAATTCTGGATTGCCTGAAGAGTTCATAAACCATGTCCCATTAGGTGGTTTGCCATAAACATTTAACACTGAATACCCGTTTGCATTTATAGTCCACCAGCCAGGAGGGGGAGTGGTAGGTTGTTCAGGTGTAATTGTAGGGTTTTGTTTAACATCCCACTTAGGACTTCCAGATTCGATGGTCCATTTTCCTCCTTGAGGAAGGGGAGGAAATTGTCTTCCATTGGGTAAAAATTCTGAATTGCCTGAAGAGTTCTTAATCCATGTCCCATTAGGTTGTTTGCCATAAACATTTAACACTGCATACCCGTTTTCATTTATAGTCCACCAGCCAGGAGGGGGAGTGGTAGGTTGTTCAGGTATAATTGTAGGGTTTTGTTTAACATCCCACTTAGGACTTCCAGATTCGATGGTCCATTTTCCTCCTTGAGGAAGGGGAGGAAATTGCCTTCCATTGGGTAAAAATTCTGAATTACCTGAAGAGTTCATAAACCATGTCCCATTAGGCTGTTTGCCATAAACATTTAACACTGCATACCCTTTTTCATTTATAGTCCACCAGCCAGGAGGGGGAGTGGTAGGTTGTTCAGGTATAATTGTAGGGTTTTGTTTAACATCCCACTTAGGACTTCCAGATTCGATGGTCCATTTTCCTCCTTGAGGAAGGGGAGGAAATTGCCTTCCATTGGGTAAAAATTCTGAATTACCTGAAGAGTTCATAAACCATGTCCCATTAGGCTGTTTGCCATAAACATTTAACACTGCATACCCTTTTTCATTTATAGTCCACCAGCCAGGAGGGGGAGTGGTAGGTTGTTCAGGTATAATTGTAGGGTTTTGTTTAACATCCCACTTAGGACTTCCAGATTCGATGGTCCATTTTCCTCCTTGAGGAAGGGGAGGAAATTGCCTTCCATTGGGTAAAAATTCTGAATTACCTGAAGAGTTCATAAACCATGTCCCATTAGGCTGTTTGCCATAAACATTTAACACTGCATACCCTTTTTCATTTATAGTCCACCAGCCAGGAGGGGGAGTGGTATGTTGTTCAGGTATAATTGTAGGGTTTTGTGTAACATCCCATTTAGGAATTCCAGATTCGATGATCCATTTTCCTCCTTGAGGAAGGGGAGGAAATTGCCTTCCATTGGGCAACAATTCTGAATTGCCTGAAGAGTTCATAAACCATGTCCCATTAGGTTGTTTGCCAGACACATTTAACACTGCATACCCTTTTTCATTTATAGTCCACGAGCCAGGAGGGGGAGTGGTAGGTGGTTCAGGTATAATTGTAGGGTTTTGTGTAACAACCCACTTAGGATTTCCAGATTCGATGATCCATTTTCCTCCTTGAGGAAGGGGAGGAAATTGCCTTCCATTGGGCAACAATTCTGAATTGCCTGAAGAGTTCATGAACCATGTCCCATTAGGTTGTTTGCCAGATACATTTAACACTGCATACCCTTTTTCATTTATAGTCCACGAGCCAGGAGGGGGAGTGGTAGGTGGTTCAGGTTTAATTGTAGGGTTTTGTGTAAAAACCCACTTAGGATTTCCAGATTCGATGATCCATTTTCCTCCTTGAGGAAGGGGAGGAAATTGCCTTCCATTGGGCAACAATTCAGAATTGCCTGAAGAGTTCATAAACCATGTCCCATTTGGTTGTTTGCCAGACACATTTAACACTGCATACCCTTTTTCATTTATAGTCCACGAGCCAGGAGGGAGAGTGGTAGGTGGTTCAGGTATAATTGTAGGGTTTTGTGTAACAACCCACTTAGGATTTCCAGATTCGATGATCCATTTTCCTCCTTGAGGAAGGGGAGGAAATTGCCTTCCATTGGGCAACAATTCTGAATTACCTGAAGAGTTCATAAACCATGTCCCATTAGGTTGTTTGCCAGACACATTTAACACTGCATACCCTTTTTCATTTATAGTCCACGAGCCAGGAGGGAGAGTGGTAGGTGGTTCAGGTATAATTGTAGGGTTTTGTGTAACAACCCACTTAGGATTTCCAGATTCGATGATCCATTTTCCTCCTTGAGGAAGGGGAGGAAATTGCCTTCCATTGGGCAACAATTCTGAATTGCCTGAAGAGTTCATAAACCATGTCCCATTAGGTTGTTTGCCAGATACATTTAACACTGCATACCCTTTTTCATTTATAGTCCACGAGCCAGGAGGGGGAGTGGTAGGTTGTTCAGGTTTAATTGTAGGGTTTTGTGTAAAAACCCACTTAGGATTTCCAGATTTGATGATCCATTTTCCTCCTTGAGGAAGGGGAGGAAATTGCCTCCCATTGGGCAACAATTCTGAATTGCCTGAAGAGTTTATAAACCATGTCCCATTAGGTTGTTTGCCAGACACATTTAACACTGCATACCCTTTTTCATTTATAGTCCACGAGCCAGGAGGGGGAGTGGTAGGTGGTTCAGGTGTAATTGTAGGGTTTTGTTTAACAACCCACTTAGGATTTCCAGATTCGATGATCCATTTTCCTCCTTGAGGAAGGGGAGGAAATTGCCTTCCATTGGGCAACAATTCTGAATTACCTGAAGAGCTCATAAACCATGTCCCATTAGGTTGTTTGCCAGACACATTTAACACTGCATACCCTTTTTCATTTATAGTCCACAAGCCAGGAGGGGGAGTGGTAGGTGGTTCAGGTGTAACTGTAACAGTAGCAGTTTTTGTCTTTGAGTTTCTTTCGACTTTAATCATCCTGCATTTGTTTTTGCACTTCTCATTTGGTTTCCCACTTTTGGTTGGTACAGGTGCCAAGGACCTCACAGTTTCTAGCTTATTGCCTCGTCGGTCAGAGTTCAAAATTGTCACATCAAGTGAATCAAGCAGCTCAAGAAGTTTTTTGACATATAATGATAATTGGTCATTCTGAGCTTGCTCCATGATGTCTATTTATCTCTAATAAGTTTTTATGAGGATTATGTTTATTAATGATAGTGTTTTCTCCTAATTTCGATTTTAGATCAATAATGTTGCGACTGATGAGTTCCTGGAATAAAAGTTAGTGGTTAGAACTGTCAACTACTAATATGACAATAACATTCAACAAAAATTATAAATATAACAATGTGATTTACAAATATTTTTCTATTTATAGATTTTAATATTCTTGTAAAATCAAATACAGGGTGATTGGTACTATATTATTTTAAGTTTATCAAAAATAACCATGTTTTTAAACTTAATACTGTAGCTATTTCTCAATTACCTGTAAATGGATTTGAGTAAATAATGTCATTTTCGTATTCTACATTAAATTTTGAACAAGAATAATAAAAAATGACGGAGGATCAGTTGTAAAAACTCCATTGTAAATAGATTCAAAGATAAAAATTAAGATGTTTGATAAAAATTTAAAAAACAATGGTTTATTGCATTTTCACACCCTGTATACAAGAAAGTGTTGGAATCTATATATTAATAGGCAAGCACGTTTTTTTTTAACCATGAATTTAAAATTTATATAAAAATCAACATAGGTCTTATGGGTTGTGATATTATAATATAAAATAACAACGAAATATAAACAGAAAATCAAAACAAATTAAAGAAAGTCCAATCACATGTTTTATTTACAGTGTGGGATGGAAATAGAGAAGTCTGTACAGTACATATCTTTGGTCAAGTTTTCGACCAATGGACGACCTCTAGTATGTTAAAAACTGCACCATTTTTTATAAGCTTTCCATCCATATGCTACACTATTGAGGTGAAGATATTTTTTTGTTTGTTTTAGTGGGTTGAATACCAGAAAACAGGGAACTTTTTTACTGTTTTTACTGTTCAAGCTGAAAAAAAATACAGTACAACTTTTGCTTAATACATGCCGTCTTTCTATGTTTTAAATGTTAAAGACACCATGCTTTGTAGTCTTCAAACCACTAAAGCGTACATAAGCAGACATAAAGCTCAGACATAATACTTATGTAGCATATGGTTGGAAATCTTATAAATTGCTGCAGTTTTTAACATATAAGAATAGAATAAGAATATGTTTATTGTCTTTCAGGCTACATAAGTATTGACAAAGTCAAATGTACAGCAGAAATGCCAAGTCTCGATTCTAATTAGGCCTAAGGGTAATATCACATATCATAGGAATATACAAGTCATAGGAACTATACAAGAATCAAAAATTATACATAGCAGATTTCAAACATTAAAATTCTATCTGTTTTAATAAGAAAAACTCACTTTAGATAACCACTCATACAATTTTTTCTTAAAATCTTTAACAGTATATTTATATTTCTTACTAAGATTAAGTACTTTACTATACAGGGTGGCAGAAAAGTAACTTGCACCCCCCCATAAATTTTCAACCATTTGAGATATTTTAAATCGGTTTGCGGCAACCTTCTAAGATATGAGGGGCTACAATAATTATGGTCAGTTTTGAAAATTTTGCTCTTAGGGGTAGCGGGGGTAGGGGGTAGCTCAAAATTTTCAAATAGCAAGTATAGGCTAGTCGAGTTTGGTATCATTTTGTAGGTTTTGACGAAACATAACAATTAACATAAAGAAAATAGAAATCGAACCAATAATAACAAAATGGCAGTTCAAAATTACTTTAAATAACCATTGCCTCAATCATTTTTAGCTGCAATTTTGTTATTATTGGTCCGATTTCTATTTTCTTTATGATATTTGTTATGTTTAGTCAAGACCTGTAAAATGATACCAAACTCGAATATACTTGCTGTTCGAAAATTTTGAGCTACCCCCTACCCCCGCTACCCCTAAAGGGCAAAATTTTCAAAACTGACCATAATTATTGTAGCCCTTAATCTCCAAACAAGTTGCCGCAAACCGATTTCAAATATCTCAAATAGTTAAAAAGCTAAAGAGGGTGCAAGTTAATTTTTTTGCCACCCTTCATAGTTATTTGGATTTGAAACGTTTTAGGGCGCCATTTTGTTATTAGTGAGCCGATTTTGGTTTTCTTTATGTCAATGTTTATGTTTCGTCAAGACCTGTAAAATGATACCAAACTTGACTATACTTACAATTTGAAAATTTTGAGCTACCCCCTACCCCCGCTACCCCTAGGGGTAAAATTTTCAAAATTGACCATAATTATTGTAGCCCTTCATATCTAAGAAGGTTGCCGCAAACCGATTTCAAATATATCAAATGGTTGAAAAGTTAAGAGGGGGTGCAAGTTACTTTTCAGCCGCCCTGTATACCTTTAGGGATAGTACTACATGACTAGACAGTGATTTGCTGAGCCTATTGTACTCAATTGCTGCGTTATCCCTATTGCGAGTGTTGTAACTGTGCATAACCCCAGTGAGTGTAACAAGATCCAGATTTTTTAGTATATAAGATATAAGATCAAAAATGTAAAGGTTGATAATGGTTTGTATTTCCAACTGAGTAAATAAAGGCCTGAAATGAGCACTTATATCTGACTTGGTCATAACTCTAATTATTGCCTTCTTCTGAAGGATAAGGTCATCAATTTTAGCACAGTTGCTAAACAAAATCAGACCATATCTAAGAATAGATTGAAAATAGGCAATGTAAGCTGTTTTTAGATAATGACTTGGAACCGCACATTGACAATCGTTTTAAAAGATAGATAACTCGTGAAAGTCTACAAGATATGTGCTCAATAGTCCAGGAGTTGAGGGGATTTGAGCATGCATGAAAGTAGTATGCAATGTTATTGCTGATTATTGTAATATGGACTGTGGTGATCAAAATTATGTATGATGTCGCCTATTTCAAAAGTGGTCGATAAGGTGGTGGGGAGGGGGCAAACATGGCGATTTGCGCTATGCGTTAAAACACTGATATTTCGAAAACGGTAAAAGATAGAACATCGGTTAAAACGTCGTTGTAATTCTAAAAATGTGTACTAAAATAATGGTTATTGAGTCCGAGGTCGTATCTCTATAAATAAACAAGTTATTGTATAAAATATATAAAAATGGACTTTTCGTGTAGTTTTTTTTACCGAAAGTAGAATTAATTTGTGAGTGTCGCAAAGAAGTAATATGAAATATCTTTGCTGATAGTTGTAATATGGACTGTGGTGATAAAAAATATGCATGTCGCCTACTTTTCAGGTGGTCAAAAAACTTGAGGGGAGGGGGGCAAAGATGGCGGAACGCGGTATGCATTGAAACGACTGTAGCTCGATAACGGTACGAGATAGGACATAGGTTAAAACGTAGTTTTAATCCAAAACATATGGCCAATAGACAAGGTTATTGGGTAAAAAGTTGTATCTTAACTAATAAAAAAGTTATAACAATAATAAGTTTAACAAAATCTACATTATACAGCTATTTTCTTCAAAAATCATATGGATTGTTGATAAAAAATAGTGTAATTACTTAACTACTCGGCTAAATATTAACTAGATGCATTTTCTTATAAGAAAAAATATATATTATTACGAATACATATGGTTTAAAATGTAAAACACGGCCTCCAAATGCCTTGGGGTTCCTCCGATAGGTTGCGTCATAATTGCTGCGCAGTGCTGCTGATATTGGCACAACTGTTAATCCCCCCAAAGTTTTTTTTTTCATGTTTCATTTATCATAAACTCTATCAAGATCTCCTCAAGAATATATATGTGTCCGTTAGCACGATAACTCGAGCAATAATGATCCGATTTTGATGAAATTTGGTACAAACGTGTAAACCTACGTTTATTTGAACGAGTTCCCGATCCAGCATGATAGGACCATGGGAACGGGGGTTTATGGGGGTTTTTATGGGGTAAAAATAGGTTTTACCCATTTTTGACTCAAAAAACATAAAATTTTGCAATTTCTTTCTAAACCATTTTGTAGAGCTTAAAAAGACAAATAATTTAGTATATTGAAGCATTATTATGCGCCTAATGGTTACGAAGAAGATTCCAAAAAATTGTAAATTTAAAATTCCCATGTTATTCTTATGGAGAATAAGTAAACTGTTGTAGTTTGCTTGTTTATGAACATATTTTGATCAAATTTGGAAAATGTTTTTATTTCTTACTAACTATTAACATTTTACAAAAAAAAACAGTTTTACCCTCCCTGATGCAGCAAACCTGGGTACTTTTTAAACTAATTATATTTAAATCGGGAATAAATGTTATATTTTTAAGTAGACATTTCAGTGTAAATCCAATCAGTCAAATGGAAATTCGCTTAGTCTGCAGGTTTGCTGCGGCGAGGGTATTTATTTCATATAACTGTATTTAACTGTTATTATTATTGTAATAACCTATAACATTATAATTATAATTGGATTCGTAGTGGTAATCTGTATTATGCATTTGATTGCGGCGAAACCCCAAGTAGTACGTAGTTTGGAGGCCGTGTTCTACATTTTAAACCATATGTATTCGTAATAATATATTTTTTCTTATAAGAAAATGCATCTAGTTAATATTTAGCCGAGTAGTTAAGTAATTACACTATTTTTTATCAACAAACCATATGATTTTTGAAGAAAATAGCTGTATAATGTAGATTTTGTTAAACTTATTATTCTTATAACTTTTTTATTAGTTAAGATACAACTTTTTACCCAATAACCTTGTCTATTGGCCATATGTTTTGGATTAAAACTACGTTTTAACCTATGTCCTATCTCGTACCGTTATCGAGCTACAGTCGTTTCAATGCATAGCGCGTTCCGCCATCTTTGCCCCCCTCCCCTCAAGTTCTCGACCACCTGAAAAGTAGGCGACATGCATATTTTTTATCACCACAGTCCATATTACAACTATCAGCAAAGATATTTCATATTACTTCTTTGCGACACTCACAAATTAATTCTACTTTCGGTAAAAAAAACTACACGAAAAGTACATTTTTACATATTTTATACAATAACTTGTTTATTTATAGAGATACGACCTCGGACTCAATAACCATTATTTTAGTACACATTTTTAGAATTACAACGACGTTTTAACCGATGTTCTATCTTTTACCGTTTTCGAAATATCAGCGTTTTAACGCATAGCGCAAACCGCCATGTTTG